TATGGGGATTTTATTCTTTTGATAAGAATAAAAAATCCCCATACCTTTGAAGGGAGATGGAAATTAAGATATGGTTCAAACTCTATTCTCTCATATAGAAATAAGAGAAGGTAAGGACCTTATTCTTCTTGTATCTCTAGTGGGCAACTCTGAATTTCGACTGGAGCAAAATGAAATAATCAGAGTCATATGACATCTTATCCCCTATCTGAAATGGAAAAAGAATGATAAAGCAGCTGTACTCCTGCCCAGAAAGAGGCATTTAGCTCTTCAGAAGGCATTTCCATTCTGTTTTGGTAAACTTTCTGCATGTACCACACAGTGCATATACTACAGGTTGGAATTCTAGAAGAGACTGAAGACTGAGTATTCATGAGCCTTTTATATAAACTCTCATACAGGTCCTTCCATAGGTCAAAGAGTTAAAATAACATGCCAGGAACTATTTAATGGCAGTAGCTCTTCAACGATTAGGAGAAAATGTTAAATACATTGAGTAAAAACACATCTGGAGGGAAGACATCAGTAAGTCAGGCTCATGAAAGTCTTTATTAAATCAAAGAATGCAGTATAGATGTGAAGCCTAAGTGAACGTTACTAGAATTATGATCTCTGTGTCCTGTGGCACCATTCATCTCATTGTAGATATTCAAGTGAAGTGTGTGCTTCATTTTTCCTTTCTTTTCATCTACAAAGGGGAAAAAAGCTTGATTCTAGCTAAAAAGCTTGGTTCTGTCAATGAGAAATAAAGTGTGCAAACCCTTGTACGCAGAGATCCAAACATACCAGACTGCAAAGTGAATTCACCTTCAGAAAACTAATGTTTAAATTAAAGTCATATGTTAATATTTTAATATTCAATAGTAGTTTTGTTTTCAGTAGGAGTCTACAAATCACTGAGCGAAGAGTTAACTTTCCAAATGAAGCTAGTCCTAAAAGAGGGAAAGCTCTTCTGCAGTGGCCTATATCAAGAGCAGTTGCCAGCAGAAACCATTTTGAAACTTAGCTGTATGGTCATACTAGTCATTCTGAGGATTTTATTTTTGCTACAGTGCTTTGGAGATCATGGAAAATATGAATATGAAAAAATTCCATTATGATGTACTCTACAATTGAGTCAAAAAGGAGACAAAAGTATTGGATTCTGGGAAGTGTACCACAATAGAAAATAAACCCCCAGAGGCTGTTGTTTATAGTTTTACATGTAAATGAAAATGTAATACATTTTCTATCTTCTCAGTTAAAGTAATTAGCATTTAAAAGGTGTGTGTGTGTGTGTGTATATATATATATATTTATCCATATACAAGTTTAATGGATATATGCATATGTAAAAGATCATAAAAAGGATTATAGTCATAATGATATGGACAAATATGTATCACTTTGCAGTAGACTGTACTTCTAGTAGTTTTCTGACTCACCATTAGCACAATTTCGAGGACAGAAACACTGTGTCTCCCGTCAGGAAGCAGGGAATGTGCATGATTTGAACAGCATCAAACTAAAGCAGCAGAGGTTTCAGGGACACAGTAGAAGCGCCTCAGGCATGGAATATTTTATAACTTGAAATTAATAGTGGAAGTCTTGTTCATTGCTTTTAGGCCTATTGAAAGGAAAGCGGAACCGCTAATCTTTGTGGGGCTGCTTGGTCTGTAAAGTCCTGAACTTAGTAAGACTCCTTCCACTGACTTTAGTCAGTGGAAAGTCTTCAGGTCAGGAAGTGGAATGGCTCTTCTGGATCAGACCAGCATCCTATCTAAACTACCAGCCTCTCTCCAATACTGTGAACTTAACCTTGAGACAAGCTCAAAAAAGAACTATAGAAGACAAGAAGATTAACATGACCCAGGGCAAGCTTTCTTCTGACCTTTCATACCTGGGAGGTGCAGTGTTCCCCTAACGAAGGAAGTAACAGATCCTGTCTCAGACTTTCATTGTTTTGTAGCTAAGGATATTGTTTTTCACAAAACTACCTAACTCTTTCCAACTGTAAGGTATCTTTTTACATGCAGTTGCAGTTGGCTGTACTCCCCTTGTGTCTATATTGTGAATACCCAAGCAAAAGCCCATTTGAGGTCTGGAAGATGGGTAAATACAGCCCATTTGCTGATGAGTGTAAGCTAACGAGCCATGCTATAGACGTTTCCTATCTGAAGTATGGTGTGTATTACGACAGGACATACCCATTTCTTCCTTACACCTGTCTGATGACAGAGGTATAATTTGATGTAACTTTTGATCTCTGAAACGGCCCGTTTGTCTTTACTCCTGTTACACTGTTTGAATGTTCCAACTTTTACTTTCAGTTAAACTCCTGCTAGTTTTGAAGGTGTTTCTGAGGAGCGATTTTTCCCTCTTCTTCTTATAAAACAGTCCAAGCAGAAATTTTTACTTTGCTCTCTGTAACCTGTATTTTTATTTGGGGGGAGGGGCATATATTTGTTTGCATGTATAGTTTGGAGATTGTGGAAAGCGTGAATGTGAAAAAAAATCCATTATGATGTACTTTCTCTTATTCATCATGTTCCTTCAGTAGCCAATATCCAGCTTTTTATACACAAGTTATTTTGGAAAGAATAGTTTCCCAGCATGCTGACACAGAATTACAACATCTTATATGTTGAAGGTACCAGCAGTCAGCTAACAGAGGGTTTATCTTTTTAAGTGCACTGAATTAAAGTAAGGCTGGATCCCTTTTTGTTTCCATTGTTATTTTCTCCAGTTTCAGAATAAAATAGATTCAAACAAAGCCAAAAAAAAAAAAAAAACCTTAGCCACATGAAGCTTTCCAATTTCTTGAGAAAAGTAGAAAATAATGTATGGTAAGTCCTTGATGCCTACAAAAACATAGAGGCCTTTGGGTCCTCAGACAACTGAAATTCTGGTAAGTGAAACAGAAAGACAGACATCAGACCTTGAGAGCTGCAGACGCTTGGAAGGAATTTCGTTGCTAGGAAGCAGTATATTTTTTATATTTACTTTATAAAATATTTAAAAAGGATTTTTAAGAACTGCATATAAAATATGTTCTTAATTTCCACAGTTATTTTGATTATATGCTCTGCTTTTATTCATTTGAAATTACATCATATGTAGTGTTAGCTGCCTTTCTGTCTTGCAAACGTGAAGTTCTGTAGTTGGACATCTATGTTACTATGTTACATAACACATCAGAGACTATCCCTGCAAATGCTTACGCATGGCTTCAAGTTTGTTCACGTGGGTCATCTCATTACAAACAAAGGGAAAGTTCCTAAACGTGAAAAGTTAGCCACATACTTGAATTGTCTTTGGAAATTTATTTGCTTTACAGCTTTTTATGTTAGGGGTGAAGGAGAACATCCTGCTATCAGCAAATTTGCTGTAAATCCAGAATAACTCCCCTAAATCCCCTGTAATCATCTAGGATTTACACAGCAGTGTACAGGCAATTGAGCTTCACTAATGGCCATGGAAGGAGGAACCCACATTCTGTGCTACAAGGAGGAGAAGGACTGGAGTAAACTCAGGTAGTGGCTGGGTAGCAGGCCCCTTGAATCTGGTCTATGTCTACAGCACAACTCAGGATGAGAAAAGGCAGCAAGGTGCACAAAATATCTTCTGCTTAAGGAAAATATAGCAACAGCAAAATCCCCACTAAACTGTGTGAAAATAAAAGAAAATCATGAATATACTTGAAATATTTTGATGCAAGTTTGGTTTCACATTCTTCCCCCTATAGTCTTACTGTAAAATAACATCAGCAATTGTATCAGACTTTACAGCTGCACATTTGTTATCATGCCCAGAATATTCCCTGAAGGCAGCACAGGTTGTGTGATATAACTGAGAGCCTCAAGGCATGATGGATGGCTATCTGTCCAGAACACCTTCCTAGCAGTTCAGATGTTAAGGGTATGTTCTTGTGACTGAAAAGAGGGAAAATAGTTTTTCAGCCTAAAAACTTTTGCCCTGACAAAGAGTCCGGCAGTTCAGCCAGAGGAACTGAGAGAAAAAGTTACAGTGATCTAATATTCCTATTAGGTTATGATTATCTGCAGAGCTCTGGCTCTGCAGCCCTTCTGTCTTTCTCTTGCTCTAATCTATGTAGGCATTTCTATTATGCCTGTCACCATAGCATCTGAATGCCTTCCAAGCAAGAAGAAACACTGCCTCCTTTTTTCCTCCATCAGCAAAATATGGGCTTTATCTCAGCCAGGATGGAGGCTCCTAAAAATGTTAGTGTGCGGAAAAGGAGAGCATGAAGATTTATTATAGATACATGCACCTTATTCTCCAGTCTGTTTTCTGTTCTGTTTATGTACTGTGCTGGGCCTCTCTGTGACAATGAGAACAAGCTGATGACTGTGGTATTAATAGGGTGTTTATATAATGAGTAGTTCTTTAAGTATAGACACAAGGTTAAGTACAACGTAGCAATTCAAAAAGTCCTTTTGATAAACATTGGTAACGCCTCCTAGAAGAGCAGTCTGCTTTAATTATACTGCAAAGGGTACATAAGCATAAGGTATTGAACTATAATACTTGCAGTATTAGGCCTATCTTCTATACAATTTTATCATAAGCAGTCTTTGTAGAAAGATAAGAGATCTACTACAAGTCATAAAATAATCACAAGTTATTGTGTAATAGATGCAGTTGTGACTTATACGATACTGTAAAACTCATAAAAAGAGGTTCACATTGCAAGTTATGCTGGCTTGAGAGGAATTTAATTAAACTTTCAAATCAATCATCACCCCTGTTCTGCCACTGACCAGGAAAGCACAGTAGAGCCCGCTCACTCTACCCGCATTTCATAAGGCGTGAACTCACTGACAACACTTTGCTCGCACTTTCACTGAGCACAGGGAGAAACAAAGAGGTAAAGGCCTTTCTAATTTTAAGAACATTTCCTTTGCCTTCCTTCTTCATACAGTTATTTAAACTGCCATATAGTACACTTCAAGAATGAGACAGGAAGAAGCTTGTTTACGTCTTTTTCTTTTTCTTTTCAGAACAGTCCTTTGAAACCTTATTTGCATTGAAAATACTTATTGCAAAGGTGAGTCTCATGTCAGGGTTCTTATTCTACTCAGAGGATGTAATTTTGCTTTGTAAATTGGTCTCTCATCTTGAATGAGTGAATAAGCATCCTGGTAGATGTAAATTAGATGAACTTTTGTATCCCAAGCAGAACTGCTGAGAGCAATTTTCATGTACTGATTCTGCATTTGAATATGCTGTCAATTGTATCCAAAATATATTGTAAAATCAGATTGATCTCTCCAGACTTTCTCTAATGAAAAGGATTCCCGTTATGTTCAGACATTTTGTTTGGACAGCTTCAAAGCAAAGCATTTTGATTTTTGTTTTATTTAGTTTAATTCCTAAGAGATTTTTTTTTAACTATCAAAATATAATAACTTAAAAAGTCAGTGTGAAAATATTTCAGTTTTGACAAAAGTAAACATTGAGAACGACTTGAGCTTTTTTGTTTGTCTACTTTTGAAACTTTTCTTCAAGGAAAAATCTGGAACACTGATTCCTATCAGAATGCAGTCAAACATTAAAATCTTGAAATTCTTTTGAAATCTCACTTCCATTCTCACAGCTCATCTGTAGTGGGAAAGGCACTCATTGCTTAAAATGTTTCCAGCTGCAATATTCTTAATCAGGAATTTGAAAACACTTTTGATAGACACTGCCTTTGGTAATGGCAGCACTGGATATAGTCACGGACAGGAATAGTGCTGAGTACTGGTATCAGTCATAAGCACTTCCAGCTCAGACTATCAGTCTG